AATTGAATAAAAAAGATTCTGTGTTATTTGTTTTTATTTTATAATCTTACATCTTCAGTTTTAGGGCAACTTACAAGAAAAGCTGACACCAGTTACAACCCACTTTTTATTTAACAACGCAATTTTTTCTGAAGCACAACAAACATGAAATTCCATTTTCCCCTACAATAATCAATGGTTTCAACCAGACAACTAAAGTTAAAAACCTTTTTCCAAAATTAAATCCGATTAATTTTTGTTTGTCTCAGAAACTCAAGTTAACAAACAACTCACTCCGACTTTATAGTTCTAAGCCAAATATTGTTACTCTGACTTTTTGTTACAATTACACGAATCACAAAGAGAAAGTCGTGAGAAGTGTGAGATGGGTGTACAATGACACCCTGGGTCTACAATTACAGTGGCCTCTGACCCTTGTAATCTGTGTACGTGGTCCACATCAGAACACCAAACACCAAATAGCCTCACAACACCTGGTCTCTCATGTCTGGACTGTTAGATGTTTGGGTCAGTAATGTCGTGGATATACGTGGGTCTTTGATAGTGAGAGAACGTAGATAGGGACCACGAATATTAGAACCGAAAGTGGTATGGATCATACACATAAACAAATTACGTAACTGGCCTGAACCTATACTAATAATACCAACCTATGGCAATAGACAGTTCCATCAAAGCAGTGATAAAATAATATTTACTATACGAATAGTATTCGTGGTAGGGACGTAAGAATACTGAAAAAAGCCAGACCAGCTGAAGATAATTTTGATACAAAATCCTCCCATTCTGTGATAGTGAAAATTAGCTGTCTCTTCTAAAAAATTGTTGAATTTAGTAGTAACCACTAATTTACACAATGTAATGTAACGATTGCTCAATTTAATTGCGTTAATTTTACAATTCAAACTATCCGGGGAAACGAGCTCTTCTAGTAGAGCACGAGACTACGGTCACTTAGTTCCCGAAGTAAAAACCCGCAAAATCACCAATGGGTTTTATAGTAGGGGTTATATTATCTGATGGTTTTATCCAAGTAGGTTAGGACTAGCCTGAAGTAAACGCGATCAGGGGCGTAATGTAGTGGGGTCTTGCTTGAGCCTAGGAGAAAATTGTAAAACTGACTACACATAGGAATTCAATATGTGGCCCTGTTCTTGGTCAAAGGTACAAGTACTTTGTAATAGTGGCATATAAAGAATTATAACTTTTTCACAGCTTTAACTTATCAAAAGTCTTCAATTTAATTCAGAGAACTAATTGTCTTTTTCAACCTTGCATTTGCACAAAAGACATGCGAGAACCTATTAAGAAAAACAATGGATAAGCCGGGAGCAATTACTGTACTGATAAATTAATCATCATGTTGCACCCAATTGGACGCGAACGCACCTCATCGTTCCTTTTTAACATAGTCCGTACAGCTACCGACTGAGCCCCCACTGAGTAGCTCTTTCCTGCCTACAAGTAGCCCAGTCCTAACGAAAGTTAGTCAACACACAGGATGTTCAAATTGACCGGTTTCGGGAGTCCGCACGTTCAGGTATTTTTGTCTCAACAGCAAAATCTTCAATACGGTTAACTTTATAATGTTTTGTATTATATATAATGTATTATGTAATGTTTGATCATGTTTTTATAAATGAATTGAATGAGCTGGTTAGCGTGTACAGCTTTGGTATGAGAAGGCTGCATGTCTAACAAAATTTCATGAAAATTATGGGTTTCCTTTGAAAATTGCCTCCAAAGAAATGCCACTGACGAAAAATTTATCAATGAATAAATTTATCAACAATGAGAGGAGCGAGCTTGTCTAATGGCAGAGTTTAAGATTTCGGCCCCGAAGTTCAATTACCATGGATTTTATCTAAGTATTGTTTCCGAAACCTTTTCTAGATATCGTCAAGTTTTTCTCTGGAAGTATTGTGAAAAAAAAAACACAATTCCTGGCTTAAAACTTAGAAAAATCAACAAGTCCTGTTCCCAAAGTATCTTTACTAATCTCAAGCATCTTTATTGTTTCAATACTGCTAATTTCCAATCGTAAAACTGATGTAAATATTATTGAATTTTTGCAAGCGTTTAAATAACACACGCAATGCCCTAGGACATTATAAACACGTACATAAATCGTGTGTGTGCGAGTGTTAGAGAGATGCTGCGCTGTTTCTGTCCTTGTCTCACAGCGGTGTATGAATATCAAATCTGAATATCTTGATCTGAACACATCCACTAGACATGTTGCCACAATTAGCTTAATAACCACACCTCAGCTACGACATGTACCTTAGTGTGTTTCTGTTGAGTTGACTGTGTTAACGCTCGTTATCTTTATGTATGATACATTAACACACTGAGCGAACTCGCTTCATAATACAAGCTTTGAAATGCATGTTACTGTTTGATTTCACAATACAGGCTTACAGATTTGGATTTTATTTTTTTTGGTACCCGTCATTAAAATGTACAGTTCCCCCTAGTAGTGTTCCGACTCACGCCTGTTTTGGTGAATTTCAACTTGGTAGTCGGGATCGAGTCTGAGGTCAATGTAGACAGGCAAATGCAAGGTTAAGAGGCAGCAAATCTCTTAAAAAATACTTTCTTATAGATTTGTCATCCTTATGGACCAGACAGAAGATGATTTTAAGTTAGTTTTGACCGGTTTATATAGTCAAATTTAAATAGGCAAGCATGTTTCATGAAAACCTTTTTTCTCAGCTAATGTACATCGCAGTCTGCGAAAATCTACGCATACTGTAAGAAAGATATTTACCTGTAGGTGTGCAGAATCCCTTTAAAAACTAAAATAGACTCAAAAATAAGCACGAAAAATCAATTTAAAACTAAGAAAACTTTACATGGGCTTTATGGGTTGCCATGCTGGGGACGAAATAACGAAAAACATATAAACAGAAAATCAATACAAATGGAAGAAATTCCAATCACATGATATATTTACAGCGTAGGGTGAAAATAGAGAAGTCTGTACATTATGTTTGATCGAGTTTTCGACCACTGGACGACCTCTAGTTTGCTTTTTAAAGTTTAACTCAACTGATTTTAACCTTATAAAATGACTTAACTATTTAAAATTTATCCAATAACCTCTCTCCCTTCCATTACTGTTCTGGTGTTGCACTAGGTGAACAAATTTGAGATAAGAAAAAATTCCTATGACTAAGAACAAGACAAATCCCCAACTGCATGGAAATGAAACGTTGCTGAATATTTCAAACGCTAGTTTGGAACTGTCAGAGATATCGAGATTGCCGCCAAAATAATCTCGTTGACACCTGTCGTCTGCGCTTTCTCCTCCACAGAGTAATAAACTTGCTATCAAACGTGGTTCTGACTTGGAATGCTACCATGACAGCTTTCGTACCGAATATTAGCGTGGGAGCGATCACGAAAGAGATTTCTGCAATTTTTATTTTACGATTCGCAAACCTTCAAGAGGATTTAACGAAATAATTTGCATTGGAAAGCAAACTTTTCAACAAACCAGTTAAAACTCGTTACTGCATTGGGAGGAGAATTCTACGTTATGAGGTTAAAATTAATCGTTGGTATCTGACAGGGTATGTCATCCAAATTTACTTCACCATTACGATAAATTTTAAGTTGGAAAAGTGTTATGTAGTAACACCCTTGTCATTCTAAAAAGGTTTAGAGAGTGAAGTTCCAATTGCCTTGGTGTTTTCAATTTATTCAGAAGGATTCTTAGTCATTGTATATTTCTTGAATATGTAAGCTGTGTTTTTTCTAACCACTTTTATACTAGCCTGAATCGGACTGGTTTCATTACTGAATGAAATGGGATTGCCCAAGTCATTCGGAGTTTTTGTGATGTAACCTATAATATTTGACTTTATTACCCATACTGAATAATTAGAATTGAAATGGTCTATCCGTCATAGAAGTCCAGATTTCCAACTAAAAGAGTTAAATACTGTGTGTTCATTACTGCAAAAAACTGCATAGTGAATTTACATGCCATATAAAATCTTTAGAAACTAGTGTCAAATGGTTGGGCAGACAAAGCGAAATCTGTATTAACGAAGTTCGAGCTAATGAAGTTTATTATCTTCATAGTTTGTATCTTTTCTTCTTCTTTTCACTAGCACTATTGCACAAACCCAATGAAGCATAGAGCTATTTAGTATTTGAAACCCCATATTCACCCATATTCAGTGAAACAGAACAAAGAAGTTCTTTAACCAATTTCAACTGTCTGCTCCTACATTAGACTTAACTAATGTGTGAAACAACATACGTTATAAGGCGGTGTTTTAATTTGCATGCATAAGTTGCATGGCACTGCGCCAACTTGGTAATTGTCCAGATTTATTACCATACTCTGTCAACGAGATGAAAGAAAAGCGTCCATTCTTCTCATCACTTGGACGAGAACTAATTCAAATGTTGCTTGCGTTTCATGACAGTAACACAGTTCAACTATCGCGGACAGAGCGCAGTTGAATGATTTCTAACAAAACGTTTAGTGAATACAATGTATGAAGAAGTACGTTTTCCAGATTTTCATAATTTTATGTTTAGCCAAAAGGTGGTTTTAATTGTAAGTCTACTCACTTGCGAATGTTTTAAAAAAAACGGAAAAATACAGTTGTGACTTATAATATACGACTGTTTATGTAACTGAAAATATCGGATGGAATGAGAGGTAGACGAAATAGTAAACTCTTAATTACATTAAACCAGTAAATGTTGCACAAGTTATCTAAATTATCTTGAAACAATAGTAATGTCTAGGAACAACGTTTAAAATACATATTAACAAAATAACAAATATTATTGCTGTAAAGAGAGTAATCAAATCTAAAACGTATTCTTATTCTTTACTATGTTGTTGTGTCGTCAAATTGCGCTATTGGCAAGTTTAAAATTCATCTAATTCAGTTTGCAACTTTGTTGTACAGTATATTTAATGGTATATGTGCTATCAAATTAGTAATATAATTACTTACATAATCGATTTTTATTACCTTTTTCTGCACTTCTCCACTAATGTCCCTGTAACAAAAAACAAGTGTTACAAACATATTTAATACCTTGAGCCATTATTAGCATGCAATTAATAACATAGTATGCATGAGACAAATGGTCGAATTTTCAGAAAATCTTATCATTTTGAAAAAGTCTGTTGCAATAAGTATTACAAATGTAGTTTTCTTATATTTATCTCGGTTTTGTGACCAACTTTCTACTAAACTGTAATCGCGAACAAATAATGTGAGGTAAAGCTTGTTTACAGCCCATTGTTTATTGTCTATAGATATCTATGTAGGTCAAAACGCCGTAAACACGTTAGTCACACGTTAGTTTCGCATTATTGGGTGATAAATATGTCACTATATACATGTTTATTGTTAATCGAATTTCTGTGTAAATTTACTGTATACATTGATTGTAATAATCGACTAAAACCATGAAAGTGGCAATATGCAGTCGGAGAAGGGAGGATCTAGTGGCTAGAACGCGGGTCTTTGGTCCCTGAGGCCCCGGGTTCAAATCCCACCAAAACACCAATGGATTTTATCTAACTGATAATCCTGCAACACCTAGGTCTAGCCTGAAGTAATGTAAAAAACAATTCCAGGCTCATCGCTAGCGTCCTAGGACAAAAAAATCAGTATGAAAACAATTTCACTACTTAGTTATGCCGGCCCAAACTGTAACTATTATTAGAAGTCATTTAAGCGTCCATCTTAAATATTTTACGTTGAAGATTTGTGAGGAAGGTGGCTATTTGACTTTGAGTAGTATCGATCTGTCATTGGCCTTTTTATTTTTACTTCTTGGTGTCGGTTTTAACGCTGTTAAAATGTTTCACGTTTTCTATGAAAGATTATGAAACCCAAGCTTTACTACTATGTTGGGTCATTAACCGAAAGCCCATTGACTAATTGGTTTCTAGGTCCAGACTCACTTGGAATCGAATCAGCAACCTACAGATTTAAAGGTTTTAGCACTATTGCCTATTTAAGCTTAGCCTATTTAACACAGGCAAATTATGCTAGCATAACTAACAATAGCTCAATAACACATAAAAAAAAACATTAACTCACAAAAAAAAAACTCCAAGAATATGTGTCTATTGATCAGCATTAAAACACACTCTCGATGAAACTATTACAGCGCACTTTTCACAGCTACTACGACTACAATACTTGAAGTCGGCGGATTCCATTTCAGCGTGAAATGTTCAGCGAGCCGAGATATCAGCGTGTATTGTTGCAGCTGTTGAGACTCCCCCACAGCTGGGAAATTCCCATCTCAACGGCGGCGGATTGTTTTACCCAGAAAACAACTTTGGGGTTGTGTCAAGGGCAATAACATGTTTGTTTAAGGGACAACATAAGAAATTTAATATGATGTGTCATATAAGGCATGGACATTTAAAGAGTAGAAAATATAATGGAATATAACTTGGTTTATGTCTGTCTATATTCCATCTAAAGTTTGTCAAGTAATTCAATTTCTTGTGGTTGTCTGTCGATGGAAATCTAATTACTCTAACTAAGTGTACTCTGAAACTATCATACTAATTGCCTACTTAATTGTTGTATTATTATTTATTATGTCGTTGCTTTTAGGAACAACGTAAGACATCGAATATGTTACGTAAACCACTAAATAATTAGTAATAGTCGAAACTATTATTTAATATAACACGGATTATGTTTGTTGTAGTAACTTAATTTGTCAATTAATATAATATTCATGATTTCGTCTTTTTATCTTTTACATTTAATAGCCCCAAAAAGTTCTTTTTCTCGGACGAGAACTTTCTCGTCATTTAACAACTAACTCCACCAGAAGACATGTGTTATTATTTTACTTATAGTAGAATCTAAAGTAGTGTGCTGCAAATATTATTGCTGTCCGGTTTCAGTTGAGAGCTTTAATTAGTCAAATGTTTCTCTAGGTTACAAGCTATAGTACGGTATGTAATTGACTCTTTAGACATACAACAGTTAACAAATAATGTATCCTTAGCTTATTCACGAGATTTAATTTATGAAAGGCAATTTTCAATCTATGATTATACAAACTCTTTGTCAATGATGTTGATCACTAAGAATAGAGTATCAACTAATTCAACAAAGTACTGTACAATAAGTAAACAACTTGAAACATAAACTATAAAACACAAGTTAACAAAGTAACATTCGTCTCAACAAAGTTGAGGTCCGAGACAATAACTTGACTTAGTTTCAAACTCATTAAATATTTTATGATTTTAATTTTACTGAAAGCCTTGTTGTTTAACATCCGTTATACTTCAGCAGCAGAACTTTTCCAACTCCTCACAAATATTGTTGTAAACTTGACAACAACTAAATTGCCCCCGAGTTATGTTTGAAAAATAAACTTCATATCGTGCAAAGTTAATTCATTGAGTTCCTAGTGGAATGCATCATTCTACACTCATCCTTCACTTATTTGGGTAAATGCAAACCTAGGTAGCGTTCCCATCTCTAATTGTTAATATAGTATGGGAATATTATTATAATTACTGTACTATATGAGATAAGGACTATTTGATATGGAATATGGTAAGGGCTCTATTCCTTTGCCTTTGCTTTAAAGAGGTATTATTTATAGAGTATTGATTATATCTTGCCATATTTTCCATATAATAAAGTTATATCTATTTACTGACTTAATTTATTTTACAAAATTGATTTACGCTCTGTGCCCCTATATTCTGATAACTTCGCAAGATTTTATACTATTAACTGTTATTTATTATTCCTGTTTAATTAATGGTAAAAGATATTTCATTGTTAAAGAATAAATTAATTTATTACACTTTATCAGTTTAGTATAATGAAGTGAAAACATGATAGACATTGTGATGCCATGAGTGTATGAAGACGCACAGACTTGCAGTCTTGTATTATGAGGACAAAACACCGTCACGTGCATATCATTTTGTACAATTTTTGGAAAATAAATAATTTTGAATCCATTGACATATTCTACAACACAGCTAATTAAATCATATCAACGACACTTCAATTATTGCATCATATCCGGGGTACACTTCCATATAGTTGTCACAAACAACCGAATGAAAATATCGATCGATATATTGAGTATTCGATATATCGTTTGGTTAGTTTGGTAAGGTTAACCTAACTAACCAAACGATATATGGAATTAAAAAATAGAACACTCAAAGTCACTCATTCGGTTGTTTGTGCCAACAGATATGGAAGTGTTACCGACGTTAGTAGACTACCACCATAAAATCTTGAGGCTAACGACTTATCCATCCAGCCATCTTGTGGATTACTATATAAACTAAGCTATCAATCTATGTTGAATAGTTAATTAATTTAAATCAATCCTGATGAGTCCTAGCGACTGTTTCTCTCCAAGTTCACCGTTGCAGCTCTGTACCTACAGTACAGATCGTATCATTGAGTAAACAACGTTAACCTGAGTACACGACCTGTTTACCGCGTGACCAGTTTTGTTCAATCATTTATCGGTTGATTCTGCATCGGACCGCACTAAGTGGCGCTGCCAACAAAAACTGTCGGTTCATTAAACCGATTGTGATCTCCCGAGTAACTAGGTTTCACATAACTTACAATTGGAGACGGTTGTTTATAGATTAGATCGTTCTAGAGGTAAGAAATATTTAGGACAATAATGTAGGAATAAAAAAAAAATAATTTTGAATTAGCAGGTATTTCAAGCCTAGCTTTCGCATAACTTACTTAATTGGTTAGATGGCTGATTAAACATTACGTCGTTTTCGGAATAAAAGATATTTAGGCACAATTTAGGCATTTAAAAAATAAGTTGATCGTTTATTACTATAGGCTGATATTTTAATTCTTAACTTGGCTTTCATTTAACAGTTTTCAATTACCTTCGGTAATCCTCCTTACATACAGGAAGTGTGAATTCAGAAAGTGAAGAACGTTCAAAGGATAAAATAACTTTAGTATATTATGTCAAATATAGGAATCTATAAAATCTTGCCATTATAATTTTCCGTCTCTACAAAATAGCAGTCACATAACTTAATTACTGGTAATCGTTCAATGGGATTTAAAATATAAATTAATCGTATTTTTGTTTAGAAAAAGTTTTGGGGTGTTGTAAAATGTATTGATCACCATATAAGATGACATGAATATAATTTCCTGTTTTAATCTGTAAATAGCTTTCGCATGACTTACTCATTCAGAGATGTTGGATTTTAAATGACTATAACCATAGTTTAATTTATGCTATAACACAAAATAAACTTGGCATAAAAGCACTAAAAATATAACTCGATACCGTAGGATTCTGTAATTGTTTATTTCACCAATCATTTTTCATATTTCACCAATTCATTATCAATCGTCCATTATTCCTAAATACAGCACAACATTCATAATCATAATACCGTAGTAAAGTTTCGAAATAAAGTTTGAGGTTATAGTCTAGTAATGAAATAAGTAACACATCACAGTTTAGAGTTGTTCAATACATACATATTTTCATTCACAGCACTGTTTGAATAAATACAGTCTATCTGTAACCGTATTCAAATTATCCCACCATACGAGGATATGATACTATTCCATCCACGGTACTATATAGGCCTACCTCAAATGCAATTAGCAATTTTAACAGTTTTCAAGATATCCAACATTAGCGAGGTTCCCGTGATGCGATATGACGTGATCTGTCCAGTGTACGTGTATTTGATGACCCATGCATTAACTGAACAGACCACACCTCCGCCACACCATTAGGGACGTTTCCCAACTAAACCATTATGTTGCTGTCGCTGCTATCTGGTCTGGAACGATTTCAAATATTGAAAATGAAACGAATGTTCACCTGGCTTGAGATGTAGATTCATCATTTTGATATGAGTGGGATTTAACATGGATTGAATCGCACCACTGAAATGTGGTCGTGTTAGTTTTGTTCCAATATAGGGAAGTAGCTATTACCGTAGTACTCATGCTAAGACCTGGACCCGGGACCGATTTACTTTT